TAAAAATACTTTACTCTCTCAAATAGTTGAATAATTTGGGCATTTTGAACATACAAACAAAATGATTTTTCACTCTATAAAATTATACGTAATAAGGATCATTCACACACAATTCAACTCTTTACATCATTAAGAAGTTGAAAATTTGTTTGTTGCTTGTAAATTTTTCAGCAAGATGTCATTTTAGTAAGTTTGTATTCTGTTATTTATCCTTCAAAAATGTATTTCAAGAAATATAAAAACCGAGTATGTATTCATCTCATATTTTAACAAATAATTTCCATGAATTATATAAGACAATGCAGCTCTGCCTTAGAATTTATGAATCACAAAATTTCAAGTCTCTTTTTTATCAGAATTATCATCTACTGACATTAAAGGAATTAGAATTTATTAAAATAAAGGTTAGTAAACTAATGGTGTGCACATTGAAATTGTACAATTAAGCATTATAAATTTTTTTTCTAAACAGAACAAACAGGAAAACAAACTGTGTAATAAGTGAATATTTTTATTTCATTTTATTTATTTATTTACTATTGTAGTTAATATCCGAAAATGTTGTCACAATTTTTAAACACCCGTTAGTATGTTTGTAATTAACTCATCCACACACAAATTATATATACAAGGTTCAATAAGTTTATTTTTTAAGAATAATCAAAGATGCAGTGGTTTGAATCCCCAACAGCACCCACAATTTGATTCTTCCGTTTGAACTCCACGTTTTCAAAATGGAGAAGCAAAGAATTTTTTTCTTTTGAAATATATCTATCTTCACTGAAACCCGAGAAAAAGATGTTGAGAATATAAAACGAATTATTTTATAGATTTGCCTGACAGATTATTTGGAGATTTCATGCTTTCATAAAAAGTGATGCAACGCAAAAATACAGCACTTATCAATTACCGATAAATGAAATAGTTGCGCATTTGATTTAAAATGAATTCTCATACTTTCCCCGTCATAAGCGATTTCTTTAATTGTTTGAAGTTGTAATTTGTTTCACTTAATAATATTACCAATGAATTTAATAAAGCTTTAAAAAATAAATTACAAATCATTAGCCATCTAAAACTTTTAGCTTTATAAATGTCAGCTATTATAAAAAGTCACCCGTCCTGGAGGTTTTTTAAAAGATACGAAACAGAGTTATGGATACTTCCAGCAATCACAGATGCCACGAACAATACAGATAAACTATTTATGTTACACCTCAATTTATCTCACAGCCTTATCTTATCCCGATATATGTGACAGGTAGTAGCTTTACTTTTAGCTTTTTAAGTGACAAGGAAATAAGAAATAATTAATATCGATTAACTAAAAAGGTTTTAATTATATAATTAGTTAATCGATATTACTTATTTCCTTGTCACTTAATATATATATATATATTGAGTTCTCGGATTAACAGGTTTCAATGTTTTATCCTGTCATATAATTATAGCAAGAAAAAATGAGAAACTGTCGGTTTTTATGATTTAAAGGAATTGCACATTCTGCATTCTTTTCAATCGTCCTGCTTATTAAAATTAATTTTTATCAAGTCAGAGAAGTATGATTCTTAACGGAATATTAATATAAATTGTTTTAGGTTTTTTTTATTTCTTTCTCAAAGAAATATGTGAGGTTGAAAAAAATCCCTGTTCACATTATTGACTATATAGGACTATTGAAGGCCCATGAACTTCGTATTTGTATGTATTTCCGTTTGGATGTTGGCAACGGATGTAGTTTTATATTATACTTCGAATATTGGCTACGGATATCGTTAGGTTGTTCAATAAATTTCGTGTATTTGAACTAAAAAAGCATTAATAAAATGTTATTGTGCTACAAGCAACTTGCTTAAGTAACCATTAGAAATTCCTCCACATTTATGACATCAGAAAATGATTCTCTTGTATTCTGAAATATAATTGTCGATTTTTGTTGTAGGTCGATTCACTATAAAAGCGTGTTTTTTAAACTGTAATTTATTTTTCATTTTTAGTAAAGCCTGTTGTTTTTTTTAGTTTTTAAAACTATCATTTATTCTTTGTTGAATTTGTCCTTGAGTTGGATATTTGGAGCCAGAATTATGTGGCTGCTGGGATTAGTCTTACTCTTTAATGGATATTAATTAATGGGTCTGAAAGGTATTTATTCTCTCCGTTTACGGGGCCTCGGATGAGTCTCATATCGTTATATTTCAAAGATTCCGTCTCTATAGAAACAGGTCTAACCGATAAAAATGTGTTAAAAAGAAATATTAAATGTAAATCATATTATCACCTTTTAAACGTATTGCTATAGTGTTAAATCGTATCATCCCTTCTAAGCGTATTGCTGTATAAAAATAAAAACCATTTAGCAGTTAGAACATAAATTATTTTTATTCACATGCACGAGTCTGTTTGCCCCCCTTTTTCATATAAAGAACACTTTTTTGTTTGTTTTATTTGCATTAATAACAAACGTTTTCATTTTTAGGGTTACACCTTTTTAAGGGGTAGGGTCTTTTAGTCACCGTATCTGGAATTAGTCGCCAAATTTGGAAATGGAGTATGGAGTTAGTCGCCAAATTTGGAAATGGTATATGCAACCAGTCGCCAAATCTGGAAACGATATAATGAATTAGCCGCCTTACTCGTAATTTTTGACAATCCTGTTTAGGACAATGGAACAAAATTTTAAAATTATTGTACTGTCATCGGCCTTTGACAAGTGTGCAAACTTTCGAATTAATCTGACCTTTTAAAGTGGGTAAAAATCGAGTCCAAAGAATCCATTACATACAAGTGAAACTTATGTGTGTGTTAAAAAGGGCGTTAAAAGCGTGTTAAAAAAAGGGCTGTATTTTTTAGAAAATATAGACTCCAACGAAAAACATATTTTTTCAACAAAGCAAGGAATAAAAAAAATTAGCATGCTACGAGAAAATTTTACCGGAGAAAAAAAAATATTCGAGCCGGCAGACTGCTTGGTTAGATTTTATGAAACCTCCTACGTCAAAATAACTTAGATAACGCAAATATAAAATTGCAAACCGAAGATTTTATTAAACATTTTATTTCCTAAATTGTTATTTCCTTTAATCTCCAGACCCAATTAAAAATAATTCATGTATATTTATATGTGAAATTATATCTCGAATTACTCGTTTAAGACTCAATCCGGCCTATCGTGTAAGTTTGGGGTACTACTGTGTATGTCAATCTTTAACGTATCCAGTGGCGTACACCCCCGCATTGCGGGAGGGAGGGCCCAAAGCCTGACTGACGCCAAGTATATAGCCCTTTGTAAGATTCGGCTTGGGGCCCAAAACCTGACCTCGCAGGGGGAAGGCTAATATTATCCGTTACTCCACTGAATGTATCATTATAAATAATTGTTACCGATATATATGTAAAATATAGACGTAAGACGAAGGAAGGAAGAAAAAGTTAAGTATTGGTTGACATCGAGACAGAGAAGGAGGATTGAAAGTATAGGGAAGAATTACTGGGGCATTCACCCGTTGCATTGCTAGAATCTCGACAGTCTTAATCAAAAACAGTAAATCTCAAGGGAAGGAAGATATATCATTCGGACACTCGGGGTAGTAAACCCCATACTTACCTGAAGAAAATAAATCCCTGAGGGGGCAGCCTGTTTATGTGTGAGACAGACTTTGTAATTTTGGACGAACAATTGAATTAGTGATACAATAGAACAATTGAATTAGTGACATAAATGGATACCAAAGGCTAATATTTCAGACCTATGATTTACCATAGTTCAGTGTTTACGATCCAGAAAATGTTGAAGTTGCAGGTGTTTTTTTAAATTATTCAGCATCATTGATTCATCATATTGAATCAACACCAGCTGATTCCATTACTCTGCTATTTTTTCCCCTCACCTGATACTCCTTAGTCGTATTTATTTATGCTACAAGCAAATAATTTGAGGTTTTGTTATTTACTATATCAAGCGCCTGTTTAAGGAAAGTATATGAAAAAACCCGATTTCTTTCAATTATTAATGGAAATAGTGCTTTTAAAAATGTCCTGTTACTTAAAAAATTCAATTTTCAACAAAATATATGAATATATTAATACTTTTTCTCTATGTAGGTGAAAATAATCCACTAGCGAGGGATTTTTTTTATTTCTCATGCAATTGTAAAAGTAATAATTCACATAACAATGAAATATACGTAATGGCAGTAGTATCAAGTACCCATGATTTGATTTTATCACTCTAAGCGACTACAGAGGTGATGACAGCTCGAGAATTATTTGCTGACGAGCTTCATGTTTGTATTCAATATCCAGATATTTCCTTTCTTATTATTATGGTGGAATTGTCTACCTTTCGGTATGATCTGACTTTATTGTACTCTCGTCTAGACGAGTGTATCAATTGCAATATTTTTTTCCCGTCCGTCTGTAGTAAAATATTTGTTTTAGGTTATATTCCACTTTTTATTTTGGATGCCACTTTTTCCTTTGTTTATGCGTGTGTGCATGTGTATGGATATAAAGGTAAGGATGTGTGGACTTTTCCAAAACTTCTCACGGTCACAATTTCATGACAAAACTTAGAAATGATTTAAATCAGTCATTCTAGCGAAATTTATAATTTTTAGTACCGGAAAGGCCCATAACGAGGAAGGTCAAATATAAACGTTGATGGATAATGGTTTTAATTTGTTTTTATTTTACTCGGGAGCAGAAGAAAAAGTTTAAATTCTTAAAAAAGTTACTATTTTTTCAATTTCTACTATTAGGTCACACTCTCCCTATATATATATATATATATATATATCTTGTTCAAATTTTCAATCGTTAATAAAGTACTTTTTATTTATCCATTCAAGTTCAAATACATTTTTTTAAAACTTGTATTGGAGGACACTTCATGTTAATACATTTCTTCAAATATTTATTCATTAATTAAATTTAAAAATGAATAAATAGTAACGAGCAAAAATAGTCCAACACCATATATAAAAAGAAAACTCGCTCGTTGTGTCCCTGTAGCGCAATGGATAGCGCGTTGGAATTCTAATCCAAAGTTTCGTGGGTTTGAATCCTACTAGGGATGGCCTAATTTCTCAGAATGTGATTTATGAATGAATAAATTGTAACAAACAAAAATAATAGTCCAACACCATATATAGAAAAAGAATTCGGTTTCAATTTTGCCACTTAATACTGTGATCCTGTCATATGTATATACATATTTATATTAATTGTAATTATTTAACAAAAACTAAAATAAAATTTTTCTTTGTTGATCTAAGTAGGAATTGACTTAAATTTTTTTTATTACTTGTTTTTTTTTTAAATAAGATTAAAGGAAAACAAGGATTAGCTTAATTTTATTATAGAGAAAAAAAACCTGAAGAATCTTACACTAAAAATATATGAAAAAAATCTAGACATCATTAAATAGGTCAAATTTCAGGTATTGAAAGCAAAAACCCACCTATTTCGAAACGTTTAGCAATGAGACTAAGAAGGTGTCTCTCTCTCATACTGTAAATAAAATTATTCATTAAGAAAAAAAAAGTAAAAAAAAAAAAAGGTTTAGTTCAAAGTTTACAAATTTTTGTAGAATGCACATTAAAAAGTAAGCTAACCGCAGGAAGTCATATGAAAATCTTCTCGATGGAGAATAATTAAAGTTTGTCGTGACAATTGAACATGCGTGGCCTTAAACTTACCAGAAACGAGTATTTTTTTACTCTTGAATAGAAGAATTTAATAGTAAAAGACGTCATTCTAATGAAAAGTTTTCTTTCACATTCATGATTGTGTAACAGGGTTTTGTTATAAAAATAAGTTAAAATTTAAAAAATTCAAGTAATGCAAAGTTTCTTAATATTTCCAAGCGAAAATTTTAGAACCATATTTTTGAAAACGAAATTTTATTTAGGAAAAGGCTGTCAAAGTAAAAGCACATTTTGAAAAAGCCTCATAGCACACTTCAAAATTAACTGAATCATTTCGGACACTTTAAAAATTCATTGCGTAAGTAAAATGCGATGAAAATGCTCTTTGGGTTAGAGAGACCAGTTTGCATGTTTATATTTACTGTGTTAAAGGATTTTGCATGGCTTGAAAAATTCAAAATCGTGACAAAGAGGGTGCTTATGGTAATGACGTTTGCATATAGCTCCCATAACACAAAATTAGGATATGAACAGAGAGGGAGAGAGCCAGATTTCACCTTCCTAAGCTATGGCCTAGAACCACAGTAACTAAGGGAAGGAGGGCGGTCAGAACAAAATTCGAGAACCAAATACTTGCAATTAAAGTTTTTCAAGTTTGGTATTCAATTTCTTATTGCATTATTCCACGTAAAATAAATGAAAAATAGGCAATACTTAAATGAATGTAAAATAACTTTTTAGTGAGGGTGGCAGAAGATTATTATTTTGGCTTAAGGTGCAAAATGTTTAAATGTGTACTTGGAAAAAAACATTATTGGAATATTGCATACACGTTATACATTTCGCATTTTGTTCCATCCACTAGCAGCAGTTGCTGAACATATTAGAATTTTAACCCCTGCAATGTCATTCAGAGGGTTACCCTAATTCAGTGGCGTAACGGCGAATATTAGCCCTCCCCAAAGTAAGATTTTGGGTCCCAAGCCCAAATACGTACTTGGCGTCAGTCAGGCTTTGGGTCCTCTAGAATCTTTGCCCCCGCAATGCGGGAGTGAACGTCACGCTACTGCCCAAATTGTACTTATTGATATGCCCGAGACACATGAAATTGCAGCACTGGCTGTTAAATACAGTGATGATCGAAGTTTGTTATTGGTACGTTCCTCAACGATAGTGGCCATTAGTTATCTAGGTATCATACTATTTGCAACCCAAAGACTGAGTGGTCCTTCTCCTCGCTTCACCCCTTTCACCGATGGGAACTTGAGTAGAATAACTGTCATAGACTCTGAATTTGTGTACTACATCATATCCAGTAAGACGACTTGGACTAGCAAGTATAAATACCACTTTAGCGACTTTGATTGTATGCCTGATTCACGTCACCAGATTATAAATCTCTCTGCATATATCATAAAAATACCATGTACACTTTAAAGTCACAATAACTACACACAACATTATTATGATTACGTATTACAATTGTGCATGAAGTAGCTAATAACATTCTTGTATCCTAATTTTGTGATGAGTGAGCTATATGCATACATCACTTTCACAAATTTGCACTAGCTCCCTCTGTTGTCGCAATTTTGAACTTTTTCATGTCGTACAAAAACGCGGTAGCACAAGCATTCTCTATTCCAGAGATATTTAGTTATTTTACATCATGTCGTATAAAACCTCAAACCTTACAAAGTGAGTCTAAATCGAATACAAACCACATCTTTCAAACCCTTGGATCTTTTTTAATCTCGTTTTACCTCCGCAAAGATATTTAATGAAAAAGTCGGAAAAGTAATAACAAAATGCACAGCTGCCTGTTAAGTCTTAGTGTTTTTCGAATGGATTTTTGTACATAATGATTTATTAAGAAGCACAAATACTTTATGAAAACGGTGTTTGCATACAATAGAACCTTGGAAAGTTAGACAAAGTAATAGCATAAAATTGACTTAACCGTTAGGAGTGAAAGCAAAGGAAAATTCGAATAAAGAACTCAAATAGTAAAGAATCAAGCATACTCAAGAGAAAGCAAGTAGTTGACAAAAATATATAATATTTATGTATAGAAAACTGACAGCAAAGTCGTTTCCATCAAATGTAAACGACTTTCTGTGTTTTTAAATTACTTCCTTTTCAATAACTTAGAAAACGTTATTAGCATTTCTGCCGACAAAATTCCATTTGTTATAAGGAATACAAGCGAATAACTGAGAGTTAAACTTTTAACAAATTAAGTCTTAATTAATCGATATTTACGATTGCGCTACACTTTTTTCATTAAGTTACCCATCAGAAAATGTATACATTTATTTTTTCAAAAAAAGTTTCTTATTCAAAAGCTAAGACTAAATAACCAACATTGAAAAAAAAAGGATAAAATTTGTTTGCATGACAATGAGTCTTTCAAGCATTCTGTATTTCATTCTAATTCTAATTTTCTAGATGATTAATAACAATGTTTTCAAGCATTTTGTAAGAACATTAGCAATGTCAAGGTCATTGCAATGGTTTAATTAAAAATTAAAATGTATAATTTCATCAGCATAAATAACTAAATCTTCGTGAACAGTAATAAGTCTAAAAGGGAAAAGGGACATGATGAGAATTCTAATTCCATGCAAATCTTAATTTCTCATTTAATATACATTAAACAGCTCGTGAATATAAAATTAATTACTAGTGTAAAAGTTAGGAAATTTAAGGCTAAAAAAGTCACGAAGAAACAAATGAAGTAGAAAGTGAATATTTTTATTAAATATAAGTAAGAACTTGTTCTACATTGTAAACACAAAAGGAAAGTTTCCACGAAATATTGCAATTTCTAACAAAGAAATGCGTTCGTTATTGAGCTCTTAGTATCAAAACATAATTCAGAATTCAAACGATGTTTTAACTTTAATTATGAAATTAATTTAAGTACTAGTAGAATTTTTAAGTTTTTAAGAGCCCAAACATTATTATACTTAAAAGAGTAAATAAGATTCTACTTTTGGAAAAATTAGTGATCTTTTTGCCATTCACTGTAGTTTCCATTGGACTTTAAATCCTAATAAATAGCTATTTTTCCCATATAAAATTCTGATTCTTTTTTAACTTAATTATCCTTTGTTATTGAAATAAGGCCGACCATCAAAGATGTTTAAATTATTTGAAATATCTTAAGATCACACGAGAAGTCATCTACAGTATAAGAAAGATCGTTTATATATTTGTATATTTCTATATAAAATATACAAATTATGAAGCTAATACTATACATATATATATATATATATATATATATATATATATATTATATATATATATATATATATATATATATATATATATATATATATATATATATATATATATATATATTATATATATATATATATCTTTCAAAATTCTATAATAATGTAGTTTCATTAATAACATAGATAATTTTAATAATATGCCCTAAGTTAAAATGGATTTTAATGCGATAAATATACTCGTACGAAAGTAAAGTTTGCGAAAAAATTTCTCATTTAAAATATCATAGGCAATTATCCACCAGCGACAACAAAAATTATTCAGACTTTTTTTGTTATCTTGATGTTTATTGAGTACTTTTCATCAGTTGTTCGTTTCTCTCAATCAGATTTATTTTTGATAAAAAAAATTTGTTCTTTGCGTTTGAAGTATTTCTTGAGAACGAAAATTAATATGAATGCTTGAAGATTTTAAAGCTTCATTCTATGATGAGAAATAAAAAGTAATGTTTGTAAATTTAGTGTTTTTTTAAAAGATACATCGTAACTAAAAGTAATATCCATTTTTTTTAATTGCACTACAAAGTTTGAACAAGAGATTTTATTTATTTTAATTATCAACCAATTCAAAACAAAATGCGTGTTATTTTTCATTCTTTGTTTAAGTATAAGCAATAATTTGTTAAAAACCTTATTTTTTAAAATTGTAAAATTTACAAAGATAGAAATAAAAGTGAACAATTTCGAAAGATGTTTAATCATGCAATAAATGATTTATGCAATTCAGAACAATTTGGTATGTTACATACTAAAGATGTGTAAAAATTTTTTATGTAAATACCCCGAAAAATGAGAAATTTTAGTTTTGTGAGTTCTATATACCTTTCAGTAAAGGGCATTTTAAGCGAAATACTTCTGAGTTCTTAAAATAAAAATCGAACGTTAAAAAGTGCTATTTGTTAATGAATCAAAGAGGAATAAAAGTATATGAAGTGAAATTATGAGTAATTGATTATTTTTTTTTCGTTAAAACTTCGATCAAATGTTCTGTGATGTTCAAGAAAGTTTCATGAAGCCTTAAGACTGTGGATTATCCACACTTTGAATATAGGAATAGAAAGTCAAAGTAATATATATTTTTTTAGTTATAATAGAAAAAAATTAGCATTTTTTTCATGTATTTTTAAATA